ATGTGCTAAATTGATTGTGCTGATGATATATATGTATTTTTATGTCTGGCCACATGCTATAGGATAAAAAAATTCCCTAGGGAAGACTGATGTTTTCTTTATCTACACTAATTAATTTCATGTAGCTGTCCATGCACATGAACCTCGTCAGAGTTCCCATCTATGTTGGCATGGCAAGTAGGGCTGTGACTCTTCAGGCCCTGTTTTGAAAATGGTAGTCTTGAAATTTCATGATAAACTTAGTACTCGCTCACGTGGAGAAAAATCCATGCCTGGTACTACACATAGCTTACTGGTTTAACGACTGATAAGGCTGTTGGCATAGAAGAGATCCTACTATTTCCACCTTTCCAAACCACTATAATTTAAAACTGCATTCTCTATTTTCTCTGAAACCTACAGGTATGAATAGGTCTCAGCCCTAATCAGCAAACAGCATCAATTTGTAACAGATAGAGATCATTAGTACACAACTGGTTAAAATTCACAGAACAACTGACCCTAGGGTCCCCAGCCCAAATCTGATGCATCTACAACACAAGCCCTGTAGAGAAGATTCAGAAAAATGTGGACAAAGGTATGAAAATGTTGTAAAATCTAGAGGACAGGACTTCTGCTGAGAGATTATATTTTGCCTATATAACAAGGAAGCAGAGCATTTTACTTACCTGTGTATATTGTGTATTTAAACCTAGATGAGTATTTTTACTCATCTAGCAGTCATAGAACAGGATATACATAAGTGAGAAAACATATCCTATTTTTTCAAGAAAAATGCATTTTATTGCAAATTTGTTATTTTTGTCCACAACTAAATAAAATTCACACCCAACTCCTCCCTACAATGTGTCTTTGATGAAGATACGCTCTCATGAAAGCAGTTATCGCTGTGACTCATGCTTCTCCAATGTTGGTAATTCTTTATTGGTAATGATCTGATTGAAAAAAATTGTAACACTTTTAAAGTTTACATCCATCTTTGGTGTTCCCTGGATTAGAAATAAAATTTAACCAAGGGTTGGATTATACTAACAATAAAATTACAGAACACAATAGGACAAAAAAAAAAACCAAAAGATGGTGACTTCCACTCTGATCCCCGCCCTTTGCTTGAGGAGAGTGTGGGCTCTGCTTGGGCCCCACATCCTACCTTCCCTGACTCTATGGATCTTTCTGGGCCTGAACCTCTCATAGAGTCCACTCGCCCTGGCTGGAAGGACCACACCTCACTCTTGTTCCCTCTCCACCCTCTGCCCTCTGCTTGAGGTGAGTGTGCGCTCTACTCAGACCCCAACTACCGCCATCCCCCCTCTTTGAATTTTCCTGTGCCTGCTCCTCTAATAAACTCCAGAAATTCCATATATTGACAGTTTGCTACTTTAACTCCTGCCAGCTTGTTCCAAGAATTTATGTGAACAAATATTGCTGCTGGATCCTGCCTGTTCCATTTATACCTCCAACTAATGTACATCTTACCTTATTATATTTGTGTCCCTACCACAACCAGAAGATAATTTCCTTACACATTTTATTCTTCTTCCTAAGTTCCTGTTAAAGGAGCCACCTGTAAGCTACAGTGCTTATTTGCTAAACTAGAGTCTCCTGATATGATGATTACTACAAAGTTCCACAATCATTCAAAATGCTGACATTAAAATACTCTGGAGGGCCTCAAAATATGATGTATCAGTCTCCCCAAATTTAGGGGTCATCATACAGTAGATGTAGAAAGAGTATTGGAAGCCAGGTGTTGGTGGCGCACACCTTTAATACCAGCACTCGGGAGGCAGAGGCGGGTGGATCTCTGTGAGTTCGAGGCCAGCCTGGTCTCCAGAGCGAGTGCCAGGACAGCCTCCAAAGCCACAGAGAAACCCTGTCTCAAAAAAAGAAAGAAAGAGTATTAGAATACTTCTGGTGGTAGATGATTCTGAGAAAACAGCTTTGTACAGATATAATTTGTGAAATATTTCTCTGGCCACATGCATAAAACCTGCAAGTGTTGAAATTTTTCAAGCTTCTAGAATATTGGGGCATGTCTGGATATCCCACTCATAAGCTTCTGAGACATAACAGCAATGCATAACAAGATAAAAATAGTTTTATTAAAATATCTCATTGAGACTGCACAAAGCAAACCAACAAAAGTAAATGTCCCAAGAGAAGGCACAAGAATCAGAGACCCCCTCATTCATAAACTCAGCAGTCATACAAATGCTAAAGCGACAGCTATAATATATATGCAGAGGACTAGATGAAAAGTGCTTGCAGCTTCTGTCTCCCTGAGTTCATAGGAGATTTGTTCATTTGATTCAGAGAGCCTTGTTCTCTTGGTGTCATTCATCACCCTGGGTCTTACCCTCAAACTACCTCAGCTCTGATGGGCTTGTCCAAGCTCTTGGGGTATGGATTTGATAGAACCATTGAATTGGGCTTCCTTGATGCCATAAATACTTTTAACATACTCAGCATCCTTGCATGAAATAATAAGAAATACAGGGATATTCCCTCAGCGTAATAAATGATACTTAATACAAACCTACAACTAAGAGTTAGGACCAACAAATTTTCTTTTGCTTTTTTGTTTTTGGGGGTGTTTTGGTTTTTGAGATAGGGTTTCTCTGTGGATCTTTAGAGCCTATCCTGGCACTTGCTCTGTAGACAAGGCTAGACTCAAACTCACAGAGATCTGCATGCCTCTGCCTCCTGAGTGCTGGGATTAAAGGCATGCACCACCAACACCCAGCTCAGTACCAAATATTTTATGCATAGGACTCACAGGCTTGCTGACTGTCACTGGTTTTCTTTATCCTTCAAAAGTGTCCACCATTTTTCTATATAATACCAATGTTGGGGTATATCCTGCAAAACCAAAGTCTTTGAAAGCATTTTCTATTTGATTCTTATCAGTAACGGAACAGGTTGGGGGAGGATAAAACACAAGGGAAGATAAATGAGTGCACAAAATAAAGTTAACTGGGGAATATTGGTCAGTGGCATATCTGAGTAGGAAAAAGGTGCTCCCCCAAACCACTAAGACCCTAGGTGTCAAAGGCAAGTGTGAGTGTCACAGAGGAGATGCAAATGCCTGAAACTTGAGGGACAAAGCACTTGGAGCCAAACAAACACAGAGGACATGGTGTGTAGTCAAACATGTTTGGATTTGGAGGATGCACAAGAGGAGGGAAGACACAAATGATTGACAATGGACTCAATACTACAGAAGTCACTGCTAAGGAGCCTAAACTAATAAAAACAGTCACTCAAAGAGTTTTCAGTGTAGAAAATGGACTAATTAGAGACTATTGAGGTACGAGGAATTGCATTTCTGAAACTCTCAGTGGTAGGAAGATAGTGGGTGTAGGATATAGACAATGTTTTCACAATGATCCCTGTAAGACCTGTGTACCCTTATCTATGTAGGACATAGATAGTGTTCTACAATACAACCCACACACCATGCCTCAGAGAGCACATGACACTAATAACATTTACTATGAAATCATGTTCCACACATGCTGAGGTTTAGAACAGTAAGAGCTGTCAAGCTAACTAGATGTCTTCTAGAAGTTGATTTAGACCTTGTAACACATTGCCAGATCCTGTCCTTGTGAGGGATCATACGTGATGAGACTCATTATTTTGTGTAATTAATATGCTATGGGAAAGAGGATGTAACATCAAAATGGTGCCCAATTCTCCTTTTCTGTGCATTAGAGAAGACTCCTCCCTTATCCCCTAGCAGTCTTTCAAATTCGTAGCCTCTTTTATTTCAACTAGCTATTTAATTATGCAAATATAATAATTTAATTGTATAAATATAGTACATAATAACAGGCATCAAATATGCTATTTTTGTAATAATTACCACTATATTCGTATTTGTAATGTGCTAAATTCCTTGTGCTAATGATATATATGTATTTTTAGGTCTGACCACAGGGTATAGGGTAACAAATCCCTAGGGAAGACTGATGTTGCCTTTATCTACACTCATTAATTACATGTAGATGTCCGTCCAGATTTCCCATCCATGTGGTCATCGCAAGCAGGGCTGTGACTCTTCAGGCCTTGTTTTAAAATCATAATCTTGAAAATTCATGAATAAATTTAAGACTGGCTCAAGTGGAGAAAATCCATGCCTGTCACTATACATAGCTTACTAGTTTAATGACTGATAAGGCTGTTGACATAGAGGAGATCCTACTATTTCCACCTTTCTAAACCACTATAATTTAAAACTGCATTCTCTATTTATTCTGAAATCCACAGGTAAGAATAGGTCTCAGCTCTAATCAGCAAACAGCTTCAATTCGTAACAGATAAAGAGCATTACAGTAGTACTCAGCTGGTCAAAATTAACAGAACAATTGGCACTAGGGTGCCCAGCCCTGATTTGATGTATCTACAACACAAGTCCTGTAACTAATATTCAGAAAAAGGTGGACAAAGGTCTGAAAATGTTGTAAAGTTCAGTAGACAGGACATCTGCTGAGAGATTACTTCTTGTTTACATAACAAGGAAGCAGAGTTTATAGTACCCTTCTACTTAGCAGTGTATATCTTGTGTTTACTCCCACATTTAAATATTTAGCAGTCATAGAGCAGAAAATACATAGGTGAGGAAGCATTTATTTTTTCCAAGCAACATGCATTTTACTGAAAATTTGTTTTTTTTTCTCCACAACTAAATAAAATTCACACACAAGCCCACACACACACGATGCATCATTGATTAAGGTGCACTCTCATAATGAAAGCCCTAAATGGTTATGATGCAAACATCTCCAATGTTGATACTTCATTACTGACAATGATCTGATTGAAAAAAATTGTACCAGTTTTAAAGTTTACATCCGTCCTTAGGTTTTTTCCAGGTTCGAGATGAAATGTAAGTAAGCAAGTAATGATAAAATGATAGAACACAATAGAACAAAAAGAATAGAAAGAGGGCAGGCTATAAATGTTAGGACTCTCTGACGTGTAACATATGTTGTTTGTTATTAGCAGAGCCTGGTAACTAGGGTGTGGTGTTTGATGAGAAGAAAGGGACACAATGCTGGAAAGCAAGCAGCTGTGGCTACACTGGCATGGACCAGCCCCCGAGAGGTTCCGTTTACAAAAGTTAAGCACATGGTTAAGATGCCAGATGCTGTATAAAAGAGCACAAAACTGCTGACTAGGACAAGGATGGTTTGGGTGGCTCTGGTCTCGGGAGATGATTTGGGACACAGAACTCTATGCATGTATTGGACCCTCTGCTTGTGCTTCAGCAGGACGAGCACCATGGAACCACTGGCCCATATCATGAGAACCAAACACATGACATCAGAGGAGCCCAATAAGATAACATATAAGGCAGAGGTTAGATTGTGAGGTTTGGCCACAGCACAGTATAGCAAATCACGAAAATCAGTGCAGTTTTTTCCATCCCCCAGGTCTGTCACTAGCACAGGAATGAAGGCATTTAACACCATTTGCAGGGACCAACACATGTTGACAGAAGGTCCAATGACATTGTAGGCTCTTGCTTTGAAGTGTTTGTACTTGGCATTCCTTGGGGTGATCATGATGGCTTGGAAGAAACTTAAGAGGGCTGTGGACCCAAGAGATACTCCTCTGGCAACTCTATGAAAGTAAAAGACAAGTTTACATGCAATGGTATCTAAAAAATATGTCCAACCAAAAGCAGCCATTGTCTGAGGGATTCCTTTACAGAGCAGAACCATGAAGTTAGCACAGGTCAGGCTTTTGACAATAAGGTCTGTAGGCCTGGCTTTGATCCCAGAGAATTCATTGATGATGAAACAGCAAAGCAAGGCTGAGTTCCCCATCATTCCCAGTGTAGTCTGGGACACAAAGATGATCCCCATGACCAGGTCTGTTGATATCATTCTGTTTAATTTGTGTGATTATTACTTAATGTGAGACCCAGACATCTGTAGATAGATATGAAAAAGTACTGTCGTCATGCCATGTTAAATATTGTGTTTCTCAGCAACCAGAACATTTCATTGTTGAGGAATTAGAAACTGTGTCATTTTCATAAGAAGATTCCTGAGTTTGATAGCAGGTTGATTGTGGTGGTATGCCAAATCTATAGGGTCCTTCATTTTGAGTTGGCAAATTGCATAGTGCCTCATAATCAATATTCCGTTTAAATTTGTTGCTGCCTTGCATCCAAGGTTCCATTTGT